CATTAAGACTACAAGGTTGAAGCCACGAATATTGAAGAAAATCATGCATGCAATGATGATTTAAATCAAAACAATTTTCAGACCTCAGAAATAATGTTATATGCTCTGTGTGAGAAAAGGCAAAAGAAAAGGGTGCGCCCTATTTCAGACACAACAATACTTTCTTACATTTTTCTTATCAGCTGGGATATGAAGGAGGAGTGAGACAAATTGAGTGTCCTTTGTGAAGGGAGGTCTTAGCCGAGGAGAGGTATTATTGAGTGGAGGTAAGAAAGAGGGAATTTTGTCTAAGATTTGGTCCACAGCGGAAATTAGCAGCCTTTCACCGCTCCAAAGAGGCTTCAATCTCCGGGACAATATCTCTTTTTAGACTCCTTAGTGCTCAACAATGGCGATCCATTGTACGCATTTGGCGGAAAATAACTACATTTTCACATTATATCTCTTAAATAACAACTAATGCCAAAGCTATCGATGGCCAATTCCTATCAGGTCAACTGTAATAAGTAACGATTTCTTTTTTATTGTTAAACATGTTGCAATACTTAATTCTTCATTCCTTTCATTCAGTCAGATTTTTCTCTGTAACACATGGTTCAGGACTATCCTCACATTCGACCCATTTTAGCCGGTCTACCTCAGGGATCAATCCTAAAATGTCACATCACATAACGTTTATTAGTATTTGCGACCAAGTTAGCAGTATTGAGGATTAAGCGAAGGATTTTGGATTGTAGAGATTGTATTTTTTTTTTTTGGTCCTCCCCTTCCTCGCCGTTAAGGCTAAACGGGGTTTTGTGGGGATTTAAAAGACTCCCCCGGCACCGGGACGCGAACTCGTGACTATTTTTATATCATTAAGTCATATATCAGGTTGCCAGACAACGGCGGTGCAGTGCACACGCTTTAGCCCATTCGGCCACTCCGCCCACCCATTTCAATCATGTGTGGTGAGGATTCAAAGTGAGACGTTTGTGTAGATAGAGTCCCAGAGGTAGCGGATATGTTCAATAGGCACTGGTGCCCTATCTCCCCAAAGTCGATAGCACATGAACTCCCCTATGAAGACTATTATGTTAATTGTTTTTACCTGATAATTATACCACCTCATCTGTTGATTGTAATTGTAATTAATTTGGATTTTAGCAAATAATTAGAATAAGAGTTTAGACATGATACATACAGCATAGCATCCTGATGATTGCTTCATATAGAAAGCTCACCATTCCATTTTCATATCAGAAAAACAGTTAGGATGTGACAACCAGATGGTGTTACAGTGACAGGTTGTTCCTGTTTCTATAATTAATACTTCATGTCACTTTTACCAACTACAAGTTTTTTCTCATTCTGAACTAGATTAGTTGCAGGGATACTTGTAATAATCACACACTTCTAGTTAGTATAACTCACTTTTTTCTACTTTTTATGGCCGACTAAGGAAGAAAAAGTTTTGTTTATGATGTAGAAATTAAAGGGGCGGGGTTACCCAGTGGCAACTAGATGAAAGATAAATTGATAAAATAATTACGAGTTAGCGTGCTGGTGCCTTTTAAAGGGAGGACTTTTAACTCTGGCATTAGTCCTCCACTCTCACTCCCTACCCGAGAAAACCCTGTATAGTTAAAAAAAAAGTCGAAGAATAGAAGGACAAAAAAGTTATGTAGATATTAAATACGATAAAAAAAAAATCGAAAGGACACAGAATTCCTACTACATAATTTAAGAGTAAAAATGGAAAAAAAGGAACAAATAAAAATAAAATTACTTAATTAGCTCGGAGAAGAATTCAATTCAGAACGACAGGAGATACCAAAATTCACTAATTTAAAATAATTAATTGGGATTTAAGGAATAATCGGAGAAAATAAATAAATAACTTGTATAACTGAAGTACGCAGTTATATACGTGGGTCGATATAAAGAAGTTTAAAATCAAAGGTGGCAGAGAAACGACATTGCATTGTCGAGTACAAGGCCACACGTGGGAAGTTAAAGTATTTCAAGTAAACTGTCTGTATTTATTATTATTATTTCATAATGCAACTAACTATATGCAATATATTTTATCTGGTATCACGATGAATATACACAAGTAATATTCGTGAAGCAATTTACGGCAACAGGGAAGCTACAAAATAGTGATAAATCATTATTAAAAAGAATAAGAAAATTAAAAAATTATTTTCGTGAATGGGCAAGTTAATAATATTTAATTATTGTGTAAATAATTATTCTATTTATTTTCATAGCTTTGCTTTTCCCTCGTGGAGGGACAAGTCTGGTTCGGAGTTCCCATGGCCGATTTTAAATAGTGTCCATAAACTATGTTTTATGGAAAAAAATTATCAAAAAAATTATCTCTTAAAGTATTATTTCGTGTGATTACTTATAATAGGACTTCAAGATTCACTTTAAGACCATTTCATATAGGTAGTTAATTTTTTTTCTTCAAAGTAATTACAAATATATATATATATATATATAATAACTTTTTTTTTCATATAGGCGTGTGTATATATATATATATATATATATATATATATATATATATTATATATATATATATATATATATATATATATATATACACACGCCTATATGAAAAAAAAAGTTTTCGGGCTGAAGTCCTACCATCCTAAAAAATCAATCAATGGATCCGCTAGTGTTGAGCATGTAATTCTGCATTATAATGAACAATCTAACCTTAGAAAGTACACAACCGAGGGAAAAAAAAGAAAGAGTAAACAAAGTACACAACATCAATACTTTAAACTCATAACAGACTCAAATTACGGAAAGTTGTTAATTTATTATAATCAAACAAAGTAACTTACACTTCCAAACTTGGTTAATGTATTCATATTTTAAACTCTCTTTTGATAAAGCCTAAATAAGCAGGATAACCTTCACACCAGAACAACACCTAACGCCTAAAAATCAGATTTTTTTTAGAAAGGAATTTTAATCTTTTTATAGCCTGAAATTCTTATTTTTGACAACAATAAATTATAGATTTTTTTTTCAAACAAAAGGGACGAAGAACGGATTAAAGAAGATTAGACGAACCACGTTTATTTAAATGATTAAAGCAATGGTAACATTTTTTTTAGAAACAAATTCCATTTTTTGTTCTTTACTTTTTGTAGACATCAATTATATTAATTCACTGTGGACATTGTGCCAAAGGACGAGAACGGTTTCGGCGTACCACGCCTTCGGAGGCTGCGCAGTATCTTTCGAGGACACAAGATCAGAATGGAATGACGTAATGTGTTTAAACTGTCACATACAGAATACTTTCGTCAACATAATAACAAAATTGAAAACAAAAAAAAAATAATCCCAAGGAAAATTTATCCAAAACTCTCGAGAAAAACTGAAATAAATTGTAACAAATAACTTCAAAATATGGAAACCCTCAAATTAAGTGAATTGGTTGTTATGAAATTTGAAGGCTAAACATCTAGGTCAGCAGCGCCTACGTTTACTTTTTTAACATTGAATACACAAACAACATATTTTTTGATAAAAATTAAAAAAAAAAAATGAAATATTAATAGGAAACATTATTTTGAACTACCGATCATGTATTAAATAGTTTATCATAATTATGATTTGAATAATCGTCATCAGATCTGTCAAAATGAAATACAAAATAATGACAAACTATTAAATAAATGACGTTTAGGACAACTTTGTTGAGCTTCTTCAAGACTACAAAAAACTAACAAATCTCACATCACAGACCCAATTCTAAAATGATTATTTAAAACCTTTGATATATTTTTAATTTGTGACTTAAATCAATTAAGACATTGTTTCAATATCATTGAATAATAATATAGGACAAGTGAAGTAAACTGAATTAAACCTGACATAAAAATTGAAATAAGAAATAAGATACATTTCATCTGCAATTATAATTTAAAACGAGATTTTCTCCTTTTGAAACATTTTCAGATACGCCATTTACGGATGGCACCGACGATATTCATCCATATATTAAAATGGACTATATATTGTCTTATTATTTAATTTATAAGAAAATAAAATGATTGATAGTAAAAAAAAGGTTGTAATATAATAGCATAATTTAATTTCGTATAAATAGAAAATTACTGATATCCTTCCTCAAGCCTACTAAAATTAAGTTAATAATTCTTATCTGGTCCCATTTGTAATACCTGTTTACAAATCTAGTTTGTAAGGTTATTTTATTTTTTTACATAATTTATATGAATTTTTTTATTGTATTTTTAATCGATTTTCTTTGACTGCTTTATAAATTATGTATATTATTGTCTCCATGCGTGCCGATGGTAACTATATCCTCATGAAAATATATACACTACACTGTTTTTAATAAGAGTAGGCAGAGTCTGTCTGTAATCCTTCTTTTCTCTCTATAGTTGGAGGGATAAGTCACTGAATTCTCTCGCCTGATTTTAAATATGACAGTATATATATAGGTATGTATGTCTGTGTGTTTTTTTTAAGTTACTTATGTTTAAGTTATTATATTTTTATTTATTGTATATACTTTTCGTACATAATTTAGCTGTTATTTTGCTTCCGTTTGTTTTTTATTATTTTTTCTATACGTATAGTATGAATGTTGTCTTACCTCATTATAATTATTATCCATGAGAAGAATATTATATTACTGAAGAGCGAAATTATTTTGTGAAAACATTATAATGTAAATGAAATTAGAGGGCGAGAGAAAAAAAATAGAAGCTTGTTAAAGTTATTAATTAAAACTTTACTACCAGAGTTAGAGAAATGTATTGTATATTTTCCTATATCTCTTTAAAATACCTGTAAGAATTAGGATTGGACAGCATTATACAGATTATTATTTTGATGGTTATTGTGTATTTTATGTAGCATGAAATGTAGATTATTACTATTTGTATTTAATTATTTATGTGCAGCAATCTTTTGTTGTATTTTTTTCCAATTCTCTTAACTGATAAAAAGTGGAATAAATAATACGCTTTGTATTTTAATCAGCGATTAAAACCGCCCCCTCCACTCATTAGTAAATAAAAACCACCAACAAACAGCCTGTCTATTTTAAGTGCCGGTAATGTATTGAAATATTTACAAACATCCCAGCTGTTTGAAATTTTTCACTAGATTTATAAAATCCGGTTTTAAATTAGTATTTGATGAAGGGAGCTAATTATGCGGACAATATCCCACACCCCATGTTTCTTCCCATTAACGGTGAGGGTTGGCTGGTAAGTGTGTTTCAGTTTTCCATTTTTTTTTTCTCTTTTTCTCTTTCTCCTACCCGAAAAATAATCCAGGTTTTACCACCTGCGTAAAAAGCGTATCAGTAACCTACTAATTTTATTTATTTAAGTTCTTTAAAAATTATTTACGTATATCCGCCTTTTTATGAAAATAAAATTACAAATTAATTGTTATAACTTCTAACTATTTAATTTTAATTCACTGGTATTCATTCATGTGCTTATACAAATAAAATATATTCAAAGATAGAACTTCTTGGAAAAATTCCACTTTCGTGATCCTTATTCAATGAATATAATATATTTACGTCGATTTTTTATTTGGAGGTCAACAGAGATATTTTACGCTTTTAAAAATTATTGAGAGCCCTAATAATAATTTACAATGCTTAAGAAAGGTTAAATGTTTAATGAATTGAATTTTTTATATTGTGAACTTTATCTGTATGTCATGTTTAACTTTATATAATATTTTATATTATTTTGATAAACTTTATATTATATTACATTTGAAAACAAAAATAACTATAACAATATTTATCCTCCATTAAAAAGACATAATATATGTATAAAAGTCAAAATAAGGGAAATAAAATGAAGTTGAGAATGTAAAACACCTCGAAACTTTGATTATATTACAAAATATTTAAAGTAAATAGAAGATACAAGTTCATAATATGAGTAATTATTTATATATTTGATGCACACTTCACCAACGAGTTTAATTTCCTGATTTTGTACAGGGTATTAGGCACGTAGCTAGAAGAAACGAACTAGGATAAAAGTAGCACCAAACAGAACTGTAATGGTATGGACTTATATTCATGTATAAAAAAAGTTTTTTGTATGAACTACCAAATAAAGATTCATTTTATTTCTCAAGTTCTTATTATTTTTCTCCCTATTATCTATCATCATTGTTATTTATTATTACTATTATTATTTATTTCTAATTACTTATATTTATTTATTTTTTGTATCGGCAAATTGTACGAATGAATACTTGTAGTCCTTCTAAGTGTCAGATTATTTATTATTCAATATAGTTGTAAATATATTATATATAAAAAATTTTAATCAGCCTGATAGAAATAGATAAAAAAATTAATTTTGAGGCGAATTCACTGCTCAATAGATCTAGATATTAAAATAAATTAATTAAAAATCAACGCAAAAAATACAAAGGAATTCTTGTTGTGAACAATATAGACAAGTTATGAAGGAAAAATTCACCACTTTATTAAAAACTAAAAATGAATATTTATTTCTATCTGATCAAATTTATTTATGGCATGGATAAATTTCGCAAAGAATTAAATGAAGTGGTCCACAATTAATTGGTAGGGTGAATCAAAATCGCCTGAACAAATTTGACATCATATTCTTATTCTAAGGTTCTATTTTTTAAATACATTCTTCTCTATATTTAAATTTTTTTTATGTATATGCCGTTCAATGTGGCAGATTAATATTCAATAAAAATAGAAAAAGCTCTTAAGGTAAGTGTGCACTCACATATTTTAAGAATTGTTGTATAATTATCACAAAATTGTTTACTTATGAAATTCAAATAGCCTTAGAACCTTCAAAGAGAAAAAAAAAAATGAAAGAAGAGAAAGGATAGCGAGAAGTGAAGTTGGTTACTAAGGAATCTTTTAACATTTTCTTTCCATCAGGCGAAAGAACCTTGACGGATCCATTAAGAAACTTAATTTAAAATCAACATGGCTATTTATTTTTTCTTTTTTTTTTTCTTTCTTTTATTCCGATAATTTTCCCGGATAAACTCACTAGTTACTGGTAAGAGATAATAAGAGTGAGAGTGGGAGCGAAGGAGTGAGAGAGAGACACACATTTTCTTAATGAGCCCTAAGAGAGGTGAAGACAGAGAATTGCCATTACCTTATCATCCGTTCATTAGGGAAGAGCGCGTGACGTGGAGTGCAGCCTTGGATACATAATGCATGGGATTGTTATTCGTTTAGCAGTGAAAGGCCCCGGAGGGCATGAAAATCCCTGGCGTTATGAAAGTCAAAGCAGACACTGGAGAGGATCCGGCCTAGTTCTAATAAGTCAAGCTGACGTCATAAATAAAAGATTAGATCATCAGGGGGGAGACCTTCCTTCCAAACGACCACGCGGGCTTTCTTTCATCCCCATCCTCATGCAAATCATTTTCATTTTGCACCTATAATGAACTGGGGGAAAGGGTGCTTTTTAGGCGAAGATAGCTTTCTTTCAAGGTTCCACGATGGATGTTTAAATATTATAAAAAGCTTTTAAGAAATATAAAAATTAATTTAGATCCGGGGAAAAATAATTTAATAATAGATTAACTAAAAAAATAAATAAACAAAATAAAACACAATATAATATAATTGTTAAATAAATAATTGCGATCAAAAGCACGGACGAGGTGACCAACAACAGCATGACTTAAAAAGCTTAAGCAACAAAAAACGGATAGATGCATATGTGGCAAGAAAATTTTGTGGGGATCCACGGAATCGAACAGTTTACGCATCGTACTATGTACACCATGGGTGTCCATTCTCCCCAAGATCGAAGACGCAAAAATACTAACTTCTCCCTCCCAAGATATTTTATTGCTCACCTTCTTAACAGAGAGAGCTAGCTAAGATTACTTCGTCAGAAAATTTTCATTCTGAAAATTCATAATCCCGTCGAAATGTGTCCTCCTCATAAATTCAAAAATCCATCAAAATATGTGCCCCTAAAAAGCTTTGATAGCTAAAGTTTCGATCCCTTAACCCCTTACTGGGCACCTCTCCATCTATGAAATGTCCTCCCCCCCCCCAAAAAATAATAATAAATAAACAAAAAATCAGTTCTAGTATTGAAGTTTTATTCGTCTTTTGCTCTAGTAGGAAAACTAAAAACGACATTTTTTTTTCCAAAAATATTTTTTTCATCCGTCTTAGTTTGATAGCACTATTTTCATAAATTAATCAAAAATAAAATTCATGTCAATATCTCTCGTTTGTGGTATATTTTTGGTTCATCTGCGCTCGAAGCTTCTACCTTTGATGATCCAATTACGTAATATACCGTGTGTTTCTGAGAGAAAAGTTGGAGTTTGATTTCCATAACCCCAACTCATTCCGCACATTTGTCCTGATACATAACAGACAAGGTTAAATAGACTGTATATACAGTATATGTATGCATATGTATAAACTGTACATAATTTGTTAAGCCCCTTCGCGGTTTTAGAAGAAAATGTAGAATTAAGCTTAGCTAACATCTATTTTTTTTCGAACTTCCTAATTTGAAAAATATATTATGAGATATATTACGAATGAGTTTTTTTTTTTTTTTTTTTCAGAAACGAGGTTTCATATACAGCTATTTTGAGGTTTCGTTTTCTGGCAGTCATAAATTGCCAGAATTTTCAAATGCGTTGGTCCTCGTCTCTTTTCTGAACTAATGGACTAACAAATGTGAAAAAATGCATTGATCTGTTGTATCTTTTTTATTATTAGGAATAAATCATCAAATGTATTTTTTGATCATGTTGAGACTAATTCATTAAAAAAACAAAAACAGGTTAAATAGTACTTTTTCTTTCTAATCTAACTAACCTAAGCGCATTCTTCTTCTTTTTTAGATATTTTTTATTAAAAAATAATAAATCTTGCCATATTTTTTAAAAATTTATTTATTGAGTATTACAACAATCCGTCTCTTGGACATTAGTTATAGTGAGGCAGGATAACATTCACACTCGACCATATTTAAGGGCATTAAGTATTACAGCTGAATGAGGTACGTTCATATCATGTACACAACACAATAAGAGACATTATGACAAAGGCAAAAACTGTAATAAAAACAATAGTAATTTAACTTGAAGGTAAATTAAATAAAACAGACAAATTCATAAATAAAAAATAATTTTTTATTTTTTTTAAATAAAATGCAATTATAGTTATTTATACAGAATGTAATAGATAATAACAAATAATAGATTCAGAATGACTAAAGGCAAGCAGCTTGTAAAATAAAACAAATACATATATATACATAAATATCAGAAAGTAAAAAAATACAGGTAAATGACTTGACTTGTTATCCATTCATGTAAATCTTAACGCTCTAGTAAATAATCCGATTTTTTGTTGAGGTAAATCGATTGACCGTAGTAAATCGTTGCTCAATGTTGTCTATCCTGGAGGACATGTCCTTTGGGGTTATCTTACTGGGTCACCGATGATGGTTTTTGTCGTTGAGACCCGTTAGATAATAATTCTCGGTGATTGCGGCCAATCAACCGAACGTAATGTGATAGTACTGAAAGCTCCCCTACTGCAGTTGACAGTTGTCAAATGCGGTCGACAACCAATTCCGACGGAAATCTGTTTTATTTATTTTTCTGAACGACTTCTGATGAAGATTGTGTTTCATTTGTTTAAATCAAATGATCATAATCGTTTTTACATGTGTATTATATGATGCGTAAATAATCACTTTGATAATTTCGAAATTGACTCCAATGAAAATGATATGCGAGAAAAAAAATATATAGTCCTTTTGAATTGCTTATACCCAAGCTTATAGCTATCCTTTCATACGATCTATAAACCAATAACATAAAACACATAATATATTCATGAATGAACATACAATTTTCGTAAATGTTAAAGTTATCTCAATATATTAAAAATATTTCTTAAAATATGTTTAGACAATGTTAGGTTGGAAACTATTATCGCATAAGCCAGAATTTATTTTGTTTAAGCATTTTTGTTTCATCAATTTTAGGTTAAAATTCCCCACGTTTAGGTTAAAAATCGTTATAGTTTATTTTTTCTTCCAATGACCATTATATATGAATCATATTTCAATCCTAGTTAGAAAAGGATGGCAACCTAACCTTTAGCCATAGTACTTAAGATAGTCATTTTTCTCCTCGATACCAGAAAAACAGAAAAAATACAATACAAATTATGAAATACTATTTGAATTTTCAAACATAAAATGGACACCTACCTTTAAACGAGCGGATGACTCAAACTAACGTCAAAAAATTATAGTTTCCATGAAACCATTTGAGTAAAAATAATTATCAAGAAAAGTAAAGACAATATTTAAATACAAAAAAAAAAATAAAATAAGCAGTTGTATTTATAATTTATAGGTGAGGCGTTCGGTTTCAAAACGGGGTACATCTATTCTCAAACATGCTTCAAAACTGATTTAAAATCGAATCTTTTGGTACTGATTTTTAGAAAATCTATACGGTTTTGGAACAAATTTTAAAATAATAAACATTAAAACCTTATGAAAAATATAATATGATAATTTTTTTTTAATAAATGGATGCAACCGGTTTTCAAACAAAACACTCCAGATGTTTTTTATTAAAAAATTAGATATTCCCAAGTGATGAAAAATACGTTTATGTATTTTCATATATTTTACAAACTGCATTGTACTATATGGTTGAAAAAGTTAGTGTTCTTAGTAGTTGTTTTTATTTTTTTTTTTAGATTGGTTAACAACTACAAGTTACTATGACCGTATGAGCGTGAAGATTGCAATAAAATAAAAGTCAAATAGCACAAACCAGAATCGGCATGAGCTTCCTATTGAGCATGCCCAATATAAAGACCAATTTTTCTCAAATGAAATACATGATAATTCAAATCTTTATTCTGTATCGATATATTTTCGATATAGATAGATTTTCGATATCATTAGACACCTTTTAAATTTATTATATTATCTTCAAACAGATTTTAAATTTTTTGATGGTGGTAAGTGAATACTAACAAATAAATTGTTTATATATAATGATAACTTTTTAAAATTCACGTTATCATTTTAATAAATGATATTAATAATTAGAGTATTAAATGATGATTTGAAAAATAAGAATAATTAAATACATTTTTGTTTAACATACATATGTCAAATATTGACCATATGGGAAAAAGCGGCACATGTGGATTTCCTACGAACATTTAATTCTTAACTGTTGGTAGTAATTCAATTCAATTATCTGTTTATTTAAGAAAAAAAACAGACATGTTTTCTTTGAGACTATCAAGAAACTTCATGACTTCTGCAGTTCGACCAAGCGGACTTCATGGAGGCGTTCCAGGTGAGAATCTACCCTTCAAGATAGACGGGAAATGGAGAATAACCATCAAGACTTTGATATTTTTCGGATCAGGCTTAGCAGTACCTTACATAGCACTTGCACGCATGATGACGAAGAATAAATAGAACCTTTTTTTTGTATATCAGATCATTACTGTTTGATTTGAAGATAAAAAAAATGGGATAAGAAAAAATATTTTATGACAGTTACTTCAATATTTGTTTTATCATCCTCGTTTTATAGTGTGACTAGTGTGGTTAATATTGTGCTCTATATGTACATTTAGAATTTTTTTTAGTTTGTAACTTTTATAAATATACAAGTAAGTGAATGTGCTGTTTTCTTATAAAATGAATGATGTATCTCGATTTATTTCATCCATTTACTTTTTTTAGTAAGAATATGTTTATTATCACTAATTTTACTATTAGTAATATTGTAATATACTCAACAAGTGAATAACTCAATTATTTTATTTTAATTACCGTGAACTGGGGTTACTTGGGACTATGGAGTGACTATGAATATAGTTTGAATATGAAATTAACTGGCGGGCTAAAACGCTTTTGTATTCACATAATTTTTCTTTAGTCTTGATATAACTCTGTTTCAATCCGATAGGTTATTTTAATTTAAAAATAAACTGTAGTATATTTTAATATCCTATTCCCAAAGTAATTCCGAGGTACTTAAAAATTAACAGTTTATTACCGAATTTTTTAGATGTTTTCATTGACACAATCTCAAATAATGTAAAAATTTTTTAGTTAGAATGACGTTCCGAATTGTCATGTAAGGTAGTGAATGAAGTACTGACGGTGGTGCGCTGCGGATTCCCGAACATCCGGAAATCAAAGGTTCATTCACGAGAAGTGGAGGGGGACAGAGGTAAAAGTAGTGGAGAGACAACCATACTGCTGGATAGGTTAGGTTACCTAGGCTTCACAACCATTATAAATTTCTGATTTTCATTATATGTAAATAGTTAAATAATTTTTTATATCCCTTGTTTATAATTTTAAACCATCTTCAACTATTTCTTTTAAATAGTCAAGTGGGCAACAAATAAAAAAAAATAAATGAGGAAACTTCACAATTTACTTTAGGAAAAAAAAACTTTAACGTTGTGTATATTTATCAGTTCTTTTCCCATTTTCCTTAACAAATTTATTATTTTCGCAATACCTTTCCTTAATTTT